ACGTATAACTGAAGACATTTTTGTATTAACATCATCGTCTCTAATTATTTTGAATTCTGCAGTTATCTTGATTTTTTTGGTACTTCATTCGCATAAATATATGAATGGGGTGGGGTCTGATTTAGCACCTCCATCCTGAAAGCAAAATGACGTCACTCACAGTCACGGTTGAAAAATGAGGTAGTGACACTAAATCTAGAGTATGTGTAATATGCCCAATAGAGGGCGTACTTCCTTGAAATGACAAAAAGATCACCGAGTTTTTCGGCTCTTCTTTTTTTTTTTTCATTTATCACATAGTTTCCTGTCTCATTATTTTCGGTTGTGTGCAGCTTCTTAGCTCGGACCATTTCTGGCATGACAATCAATGCAATTACATACAGAAACATTATTCTCAAAGAAAAATAAACTGGTGATAAACTGGTTTACTCTTCAATCTGCACTTCAGAAGTTACATTTCTATTATTTTTTAACCATGGAGAACTATATTTATAATATAATTTTGTAAAAACAATTTCATTATTATGTGTAAAAATGCTCCTTTTTCAGAAATCCGACTTGTGTGTAAAGTTTTACTCAAATAATTGTATTTTGTGCTGAAAAAAATAAAAAGATACCACTCTACAATAAACGATTGTTAGAAAATTGCATTATGCTCCTGTTAACACAGGGATAGGAGATAGGGATATACCCAGTATATGCTGAATCGAGCATACAGGTCTTTGTAATACTATATATACATTCTAATCTATCAAATGATATGATTGGAAAGTTGTGCACCCGTTTTTACTTGGCAGTAAAAAGTGAATTCCATCTTACTTGTTGATTTTTGAAGCTTTGTTATACATATAGATGTATGCTTGATTCACCATAAAAGCAGTACAAATAGTGTGAAAGAAGAAGAGTGACTTTATGCAAATTGCTAATGATCGAATAATTTATGTGTATAAAATAATGAATAGAAATGCTCCTGAAATGCATTTGATGGAAATCTGTGCTCATTTGGTAAAAACAACACACTACATTACAAAGGAAGTTTGATATTTTGCCAAGCTGCGTTATTACTCAGCTGCAAGTGCTGGACATAAAAATAATAAATATTTATGTCATCAGACCTGTATTTTATATTGTAGTGTATATTGCATTCATATTTACTAATTTTCTTTTTTTAGAACAGCTCTTTTAGCTGAGAAACAAAGGATATGACACAGTCCCTGCTGTTCAGTAGTTAAACAAAAGGTCAATTTATGTATTATGTTTGAACTAAATTCGTATGTAGTCGAGATCAAGTTCTGGAATGACAGAAATGCTGGATTTTGAGCAAAAAAATGGCCTCCACTTGGCCATCTTGAATCAGACTGTGGAACAAAAGCATGTATGTGTGAAGTTTGAATGTGTTCATGCATGTCCAAGATACAGGTGGGAAGGCACAAAGGTCAATGAACCGTTAATCCTCAAGTCTCCCTTTCGAGACTGTATAAATTAATATACAAAAAAAATACATGTATAAATAAATGAAGGAAGGGGTAATATGGATCATTGACTTTGAAAAGTTAAACAAAAATTTCCTTTTTACATCTTGATGAAAACATGCTACTGAGAATGTCACAGGGCACACTGAACTGAATACTGCCAACCAGACGATGTGTACCACATTCGTACCCAATTGGACAGTGTGAATTTTAAATACAACTTGAGTTGCGGAAAAAAAAAAAATGGCTACCAATCAGCAATCTTAGATACATTTGTATTGATTTCACAATTGTCTGTGTACCAATTTGGGCCCAACTGGACAGCAAGAATTTAAATAGAAGCTGACAATAATTGAACAAATTGGCTGACAGTTGACTGTCTTGAATTACGACACGGGTACCGTCCATTTGAAATTGAAGGGGCCTGCAGAGTTTTAAAATATTGCAAACAAGTCACCGAGAGTGTACAAATTAAATGAACCAGCCACCTCCCACATGTTTGAATATAACAGATTAAATACAGATATTTATACAGTATACGTTTCAATTCACAATCGATAAATATACCGCAAGTGGGTAGGCAATCGGACATTTGCAAGGCAGGGCGCCGTGTACATTTTTTTTCACCTAAATTGAGAACTGCCTATCGAGTTTGAACAAAGTTGAAGTTGGTAAAGGCCAAAAATAAGAGCATTCCAGCTTGCCATTGCGGAAATTGTACATGTCGCCACAAGAAAGAAAACTGCTCAACGTACATAGTTTTATAATGGTTGGAATTCAAAAGATCTAAAATTTCTAGGGCTAATTCTTGGAGCATCAAAACCATTTCACTGTTAGCATTATGAACATCCAAATTCAGGGCAGCTTGACATCAATGGAAGAAAATATTTTAGTGATGTAACAAATTAACAATCATTTCAAAACTTAAAGGAAGCTCCACTGAAATCAAGGTGTTGTCTGCATCAAACAAGGCCTTCCATAGTGGTATAGGGTTAGGGTTAAAATGGAATTTTAGAGAAAATTTACATCGACAATTTCAGGTAATATATAGTTTTTATTCAACAAAAGTACCTGACAGTAAAAAGATCTCATGGAATACACTTAATTCGAAAGAAAAATTAACTGCAAATTGTTGATTTAATTTTTGGGCAGTCGGACTCTAAAATGAAAGACTAATTTTAATTGTGTTTCTGAGTGAAAAACATTCTACGATATATGTATATATACGTTTTGTAAAAGACAATCCAGCGATCTCGTTTACACTTGAACAATTCTCACACCAACAACCCCCACTTTCCAACAAACTTCAGTGCCAGCGAGCATTAACACATCCAGAATGCTGCCATTTTGACCATCTGAAAACTACTGACCACAGTACGAAACAACTTATGTGACGACTATAATAGGTGTTTCTGGATATAATCATTTAATTGTAGACTAGGAAATTTTAAAACTATGCTTGTGAACAACATGCGTACAAGTTACTTGAAAACAAATTTCCATTGCACAGACGTGCAATGTAAAATTGATCTGAAAGAAGGATCGATGAGATCTACGCTTAGTCTAGAAATACTGAAAATTTACAAGTGCTCCTTTTGCCCAAGGTCAGTTATTCAGTCATAACAGTAAGGAAAGACCACATAGTAGAATTCATAAGTGAACAGAAAAATATTTGTATATTCTGCAACAATACAATGATTTATGTTGAATAAAAAAAAAGTTTACATACACTTGTACTTTTAAAAACCTCAACTGTATAGTTTTATTTCAAGACACACTTACACCTGGTTATACCTACACATTAACACTTAAATATGAAATCCTATCTGCATACATACATATTGGATTTAAGTAACTAAATAAAAATACATTCCAAAGCCCACCAGTACAAGGCTCTTACACGTTATTTCATTTATGGCCAGGTTTCTTATTGCCAATACTATGGATATGGGTATTGCTTATTAGCAAATCAGATAATTGGAACTGAACTGAAGCAAATTAAAGAGAAAGCCTCAAATTATACATTTTTGTTGGTGAATTGTACATTCTATTCTTTGTCACTTTTAGGGGTCCTTGACTTGGATCTTGATGACCTAGATCCTGAACGAGAACGGGATCTACTAATTGAGCGACTCCTTGATCGGCTTCGTGAACGAGATCTTGATTGACTTCCACGCCATGTTCTGTCTCTGGGTGACCTGCATCAGAATAATTTAGGAAGATATTTAGTAGACTATTAATGAGTGTAATAGAAAAAACGGTAAAAGAGTTGTCCAGGGAGGTGGAAGCGAAGTACTAACATATCTAGAAGCAACTAACCTTGATCGATGCCTTTTTGGTCTGTCTTCAATAAGTTTTATTTTGCGACCACTGATTTCTGTTCCATCAAGTTTGGCTATCACATTTTTCAAATCTGAATGTGAGGCAAGTTCAACGACACTGAAACAAATTATTAAAACCATAAATGAGAATGGTACATAGGTTTTTATCCACAATTGCACAACATTCATTTATGCATCATTACTCAAGACAAAATCAAGTAATCCTGCTTACCCCTCATTTTTGTGTTGTTTGTGAGCATCCGCAAAAGTAACTTCTCCGGCTTGTCTCATGTAATCTTTCAGGTCCTAAAAAAATGACAAAATGCTTGATGAGACAATGCACACACTACAGTTTTTACACTTTTACACAACCATGGAGAGAACAGTATGGGGCAAATGGACACGACTGACGGAAGAGATGGATTTGTACAAAAGTCTTTTATTCAGAAATAAAGCTTAGCAGTAGATGATCTTGAAAACTTTATTCTTCAGTCTTCTTTCAGCATCAAATAAAAACTTTACAATGGATGATTTCTGTAGTGACATGGAAAGACCTAATGCGACTTGCATACACTAATCTGGCTCATTGTTTGGACACTTGTTTACAATTTTTTTGGTACAATATTCCTCCTGAGCAATGGCAATGAATTTAGAGAATACAGCCAAGTAACACCATTTTGATAAAATGAAATAAAATAAAAAAAAAGAAACACTACCAAGCTACAACTAATGTTATTCCAGATGAAATGTTTTGTATTGTACTTCACTAAACCATGTACCATTGTACGTTTAGGAGAGAACACAAAATCATAATCACTTACTAAATTACCTTGGTTTACATCTTTTCAGACCCTGACAGCCAGATAGACTGATCAGCCCAGATCAGGTTGCTATATACCTCATAGGAAACTCTTATCTAGAATCCCTTCTCTTTTTCTCCTCAATGGATTAGGATTTCAATAGCTGCTGCACCTCACAGCATACTGCTATAAGCTCTGCAAGCCATGGACCTGGACCAATTTGGGTTTGGATCGAGTGGCCAAAAGTGATTTCTTGATCACCAATGGGATGCCTGGATGAAAGAGCAACAGCTATCTGGGCAACAGACAAGCTGTAAACTTGCTGACGAAATTCAATTTCCATCATCCGAGTAAAACCTCTCGCAAAGATGCACAGGAGCCCTGGCTACTGTCTTCATTCTAAGCACTTGTGGATGGATGAGTAACGTGAAAATCATGGTTGCACGGCCTACCAGCCTAGACCTTTGTGTCACCACCTCAGTAGGGGAGAATGAGTGCGCAAGTTCTTTTGCCACAAAAGAGAATAGTCCCTGAGAACAGACCCTGAAAGACACCCTCAGACATTAGCAGTCATCGCTCCGAGAGGCAGCATTAACTACAAAGGAGGATAACAAATTGCATGTGGTGAGTAAATAAACAATCAATGGGCAGACCAGTTCAAGTTTATAGCCAAGTGATTCAAATGCATGTAACAGACTAAACAGTGCTTGTTTACTATGCAGACTTGAACATATTTTAAGACTTGTCAAATTATTTCAAACGTGCAATACAAAAAAGTAAAATCAGTATCAAAGAGAGGAAAGCAAATTTTGACAGTTTCCTTCAAAGATGTACTCATTTCAATGTGTATAGATATATGAACAAGCCTTGGGTGTACAAATGGCATGTATCACTGCATCACACATTCTACATCTTTAGTCTGTTTATTTTAAATAGCTTGAACTGATCTGATGAATGATAATTTACAGATAGACAAAAATGCCACACATGACAAATTACCTGCCAACTACAACGACTGGATAGATTTTCCACAATTAAGCGATGCTCTGTACGTGTTGGTGGTCCATACCTATTGTGAATATACAAGACAGCAATACAAATGAGATACTAACAATTTTAGACATAAAACATTGTTTACTTAACTATTTAATAATTCTAATCATGGTAAAGTTTAATTGATTATGCAGTTCCGGTTTCACCACGTTATTGTGAATCAAGCTATGGTACTTGCTACATGAAATAACAAAATGATACAAGAGTTTAAGTTCAAGTGTCCAACAAGATACTGGACATCAATATGTTAAAGACTGTGACATGTGGAAAACTAGCAAAGCTATTTTCGACCAAGTGACAACGTGCAATAACAAAATTACAGACTGGTACAATAGATAAAGTTACTTCCCTGAGGTTATGTTGCATCAATGTTGACTAAATCTAGTGAAATGGATGCCAATCAATCAAGCAGTCTATCTTTTCATTCTGTTACATTTTTCCCCACCTTCTCATTGAATATATCTCAAGCATATAGACCAACAATAAATATATTAGCATCAGCGTTGCATACTTGCCTTTTACTAAATAAAAGTAAAGAGAATCATAGAATGCATAAATATGGCGAAAATAAATGCATCCATTTCTGCAGATAGTTTGACTATTTGCCTCAGAGAAATACTCAAGATAGTGTGCAAAATACCAACAGAACTCAGAGGCTGAGATGCCCAACCTAAATGGTTTAAGTTTTAATAGCTTGTATCTCATATAGATTTTAACAAGGCCAAGACATTTTCAAAAATGCTATTCTTCACAGCTGTTTACTTTTGAGCCCTGTAGCTATAAAGCCTTTGGTAAACTATTTTTCATTACTTGAGTATTGCTATTTTATAACTAAAAATATTTTGGCAAACTTAAGTTGTATAAATTTTGAAACAAAAATGAATTACAAAATAAACAAGGTATTTAAGTTTCGGTATTCCAAACTGAATACTCATTCCACAAAATACAGGTATTGAAGTACAATTGCGATGCAATCAGATCAGAAAATAAAAGATTGTAATTTGTTGGTACTTATGTAAATACAATTATGGTCTTGTACTTACTTGTCAACTCCCCCTCGTCTTCTGGGTGGACCAAAGCCACCACGATCACTTCTGTAAGAATCACGATCACCACCTCTGTTGCTGTATCCAGAATCTCTGTAGTCTCTTCTGACTGGTCCACGAGCATGTTCAATTGTAACCCTATATAAACAGAAATGCATGTTCAAAGATGGACAACTACAAAATACATACCAACCGAGACTGATTTGAGTGCTGTCACTAATTAATATTCACGACCTTAATATTCATGAGCTAATATTTGTTCACTAAAACTAACAGAACGCCAATTGGAGAAGGTTACAACAAAAAACACAGTAGGCCAACATCACACATTTGTTTTTAACAGCGGTGTCTTGTTTCATTAAAGTTTTGTTGTGTATTAATTTTTGCATTGTGTTGTGTGTTAAGAAAAATAGAATGATGGTCCCAGTGGCAGACATCCTGTGTGTATCATAAACAAATAGGATAGTGCAGGTCGCCAACATTTTGTCCTGGTTGGAAATTATGAGTGCCAGTCACTAGCGACCAGTGTGGGCAGATCCCTGCAATACAATCTAGTAAACCAGGCATAGACAAACGGGTAACTAGAATGCCCTACATACCTTTCCCCACAAAGTTCTTTACCATTAAGCTCATATACTGCATCATCTGAATCACGTGGGTCCTCAAATTCCTACAAGATAATAAAATATATAATTTATTACATCTAACTACTATTGACAGTAGAATGGTAACATGGGAAATAATCTTATTTGAACTTTTATCCTCATTGGGATTTTGATGACAAAAAAATCAATCAGATAATCAGAAAGGTTGATATTAATACATTTAGTTAGTCAACTTACCACAAATCCAAAACCATTTTTCAAGTTGATTTCACGCAGGCGACCATATCCACGAAAGAACCTTTCAACATCTCTTTCTCGAGTTTGATAACTGAGACGTCCGATGTAAACTCTGGTACCCATACTACAGAAAAATTAAAAACATTGATTTCACATGGGAATGAGATCACAACCAAATTGCTAGGACCATCAATGAATGCGACTAGCCCTTGAAAAGTCGTACTTGTACCTTGTAGGTTTATTTGGGATACAATACAAGACTATGCCAGCTGCAGAAAATGCATTCTAAACAGATTTGTCAGTTTGTTTTAGCTTCCCATCAATACATGAACTTTTAGTATTTACTAATGTCTGTTAAGGTAAGCGAGTCTCTCATTTGTGTGGATCGTAATTTCACTTGTCCCAGGCTATCAGGCTACTCTTAGCGTCAAGCCATACAGAATTGATTTTTGTTTGAATTTCATTTTAGTGCTAAAAAACATGTAGCAACACGTCTAAGATTTACAAAGACTCATCATAATTAAGAATTGCTACAAGTAATGGCGAAAAAGCAGATAAATATCACATTAAGTCATAAGCCTAAAATCATGTCCGAGAGCAACCTCACAACATATTCTCACATTTATCAGCACAAGTACATAACTATTTCCTGAAATTTAGTTGTTTTCACCCATGCAAACTAAAATGTGATCCAAGTTTGGAAAAAAGCTAATCTAGGCAGTAACAAATCTCCTTTGTGGACAAATCTTTATGCTAATACATGAAACAGTCTATGTGCAATAAAACAATATAATCTGATTGTGTTTTGGCATGATAAATTATTAATGCAACTCATTCGCGTTATTGATCTTGGATTTCGTGGAACAAAGACAAGGTAATTTTAGTAAGACTATATAAAACTTGATGTTGGAAACTGAATACACAATTTTTATAGAGAAATTACAAATCAGTTTTCAAATCTTAAAGGTAAAACATCAATACCCAAGTTATAAAGACATGAAACGAAAAATGTAAAGATTAGTATTACGTGTCCTTTAAAAAACAGTGTGCAGAGAATTTCGTCAAACGATACGTTTTCATTACAGAACTGAAGTAATTAACATTACGATTATATGGAGGGTGTCTGTCAACAAAAGATGCAAAGTAATGTCGAAAATACAAAAACGTAAAATGTGTAGTTCGTGCTAAAAATGTAGCAAACAGGAACTCTCACCCTTTAAATACGTGAACGTCGAGGCTTTTACAAAATGTACAGACCAAAAAAATGTAAATCATTAAACAGGTGAAGTACGAATAGCAATCAAGATATACATAAGAACAATCGGATTCTGTGATGGGTGTAAAAATGAAGGAATTGAAAATATACTCACGTAATTTCCGTGTAGTTCAGTACGACAAATAAAATACGACAGCTCTTAGAAGTCAAACAAAAGCACAGTTGCATCCAATATGGCCGACTGACTTAAACGGGGTTTCACGAGGTATACTACAAGGGTGATATTACGTACGCCATCAACGCCGATAGAGTGGTGGACTGTTCATTTGTATCATGATTGCACTTGAAGAAGAAAAAAAAACGCTTACACACACTTAAAAATACACACACAGAAAAATGAAAGAAAAATGTTGGTCGAGGCATACAATATACAGAATCTATACTCGAGTTCATACTAAGAGTAATTACTCGTAGTGGCAAACTATTACTAGTATCTTACTGTGCCGTAAATATGGGAAGAAGGCGTTTTGACTTGTACGCATCCTTTAGCGCACGTAGGAGTAACAGCATTTCGTGTTAAAATCTTTTTATAATTAAAGGGCGGTGGTCGTCGCGTCACGCATGCGCGAGATATGGGACTCATATGAAGAAAGATGGCGATTTTGACTGTTGCGCAGAGCAACGAGTACAAACTGAGAAGTTACCAAGCTTTAACTGGGTAATTTCTTTGGTGATTTGGAAGGTATCGAAGTAGTCACCGGCAGTAATTAGTGTACGTTGCACCAAGGTCAAAACTCGTACTCTTGATTTCATTTATCATAAACTAAAAGTGTTGCGTTTGAATGACACACAACAGTATTCGTGATCTGAAAAATCAAAACAAATAATACGCATGTGCAGTGATTGTTATTGTACGTACCAAAACAACCACTGCACATGCGTATTTGGGAATTTAATTGCTCCATTTAACGAATACTCAGATATGTTTTACAATAGTTCACGATAAATCATAATTTAATGTATCCATCAATACTATACTGTGTCAAATAACAATACTAAAAATTACACGTTCTCGAGCATTTTTCCGAGCATTAACGGACCATAATGAAAACACATTTCATTATCTCTAAAATAATCGTTCTACTTTGTAATACACCACATATCATCGTTACACCCTATGTAACCGAACACTATTTTCAGATATGTACTAGCCATAACAAAAATGTTCCAAATCCGGGTGGCACTTGTTTAAAGAAACAAATCGATTTGGCAACTATTAACATTTATCAAACTTTGACCAAAATGACTTATTTTGTTCCATATCTGCTGTCAAAATACAAAATATGTTATATTATAACACAAACGAACTTATTTTAAGAAACTACCACCATTGTTTGCAGTTTCGACTCTAGGTGGCACTGGCTATGAACATCATCGTTTCGTCTTGGTTTCAGAAAGCCCTCTCCCCGCGAACCTGTACGGTATCTCTATTGATGAGCCTGGAACATTATACATCGAAATTTCAAAATAGTAAACAACAGACAATGATTATGTTGATGCTATCGAAACTCGAGATTGATAAAATGTGAAGTGGCTAATAAAGACATGTCATTATAATATCAGAAAAGAATTAAACATTCCATAAACATTGCAATAAATGTACATTATCATAATTTTGTGTTGTGTTGTCTCTTTAACATAACAAAATGAATATTAAAAGTTAGATTAATTTTATTCAAGGGAAGTTACTTCCATAGTTGTATACAAGTATGTGTGCCATTGTTTCGATCTTCATTTTCACGGCCCTGTCGATCCTTTACTGTCAAATTTTACCGATTGTCTGTTATTTTTTTTCGTGATAAACGCTAATTTCTTTGGCAAATAGCGCCCTCAGCATCGATCTTTTTTTGGTGTTTAGTTTTCAATCGGCTGCGAAGTGCTGGCATACAGAATCCAGTAGAGTTCCCCGGGTCGGAGCTCTTTAAAACACAATAGGTCCTCGTGTGAGAAAATTTCCGTACTATAATAAAAATAAGAATTAGGAAATATACTGTGTTATCTAGATCCAGTTTTAAATTGAAACCTCTCGGATTAATATTATATCGTTTTAGTTATAGGTAAGGAGAAACTGAGACCCAGATACAATACAGACATGCAGAGGCGGTGGCACCAAATTATGCATGAGGGGGTGAGATCTGCTCACCAACCTTGCGCCGAAGGCTCGACCTTACTAGGGGGTCCGGGGGCATTCACCCTTCTAAAAAAAATTTAAATCTAGACTCTCTGAAATATTTTTTTCGAGAGGGCAATCAACCAATATTTGTTTGATATTGAAGTCCTTCATTGTCGAAATCGATTTGCCAATAGTCAAATTCCCAATCGCATCAGCACAGGTTCTGAAATCATTTCGACATATATTTTAGTATCATATAATGCATATAGCCTGCAAACTAAAGTTGTATTCTAATACTTTTACGTATTCTATTTTGGAGTCTTTATTCACGTATCACATATTTATTAAACATATTGTTCAAAGTTGAAAATATATTCACACACAAAACCATGATGGCTCAAATGCATTAGTAAATATTGAAGAAATCAATACTGTAAAACCATTTAATTTCAATATTTTGATGTTTTGAGCATATTCACTGTGTTTTAATTTCACGAATTTGTCAAGGAAACAACGAGTTTTATTGATATTTCACATGTTCACAAAAGATTTAATTTAGCGAATTCTATTTATCAGCGAAAATAACGCATTTAAATCCACGGCAAGTGAATGATTAATGCATTTACGGTAAGTGGCTTAAAACTAGTCCAAAAATAAAAATGAAATAAAATGAATCAGTATCATTCAGATGTGTAAAGTTATTAAATTGTACGATTATTATAATTAATACAGTTATTGTAATGTTTTACTTGAAGTACCAAAGTGATTACATGTGTGTGTGTGCAGCAATGTAACCCGCTCCCTGATGCTTGCACAACAATTGTGCGACATATGTCATATGTAACTTTTCAAAACATACCTGGTTTGGGTTAATAGTTCTTCATTAATTATATGCATATGTTACTGAATGATACTATTTCTGTATACTAATTATGCTAATTGACAAAGTGTCATTGGTCGAATAATGTAACAGTTACTTAATGGGACAACGATTAACAAATAATATCTCCTAAATGAATAATTATCGGCCGTGCAGCTTTTACCTATTGACTATGTTTCGATTAGAGTATGGCTGAATTGTATACAGATATATCGTGGATCTTCTGATGATCTTACTAGGATAAAAAAAGACATGTCCTTGCAAACCCTATTAATAGTTGTTGATTTAAACATGCATTAACCGAGTTGTATCACGCGCAGATTTAGGGAAAGGCGCGCCCCCTTCAGCCCGCAAAAAAAAAAGACAAATCAAGTAACAAACTCAGCCCATTGAGGCGCGCGGACGTGGCATTTGGCCAATAGGAGCCCTTCAACCGAATTTCTGGATCCGCCAGTGTGTGTTAGCTGTTACGTTTATAAACGATAATGTTCTGTGTTTTTTTGTCTATCGATTTTTACGGGGAAGTACAAAGTTTATTAGCGATCCATTACAACAGGATTGCCTTTATAACCACTTGTGTGTGTGTCGTCTTCATGTAATAACTCTTTTGTGATTTTTCTGCTAAGCCAATTTCGTTCAAAATTGGCAGACAGGTCACATCGTTACTCTAGTTAGGTGGTAACATGTGGGAAAAAATCCTGTCAACCATTGTCATGACAACAACCAAAAAATGATTTTCAAAACATTTGCGCAAAATGTGTCTCCTATAAATCTTGGAGTAATAACGTCGTACATATCTCATTCTTCTTCCACGGATTGTATTGAACGTACCTTTTATAAGCAATGAAGTTTAACTTTTCCTGTATATACCTACATGGTAACATGTTAGAATACTGTACTTTTGGGTAAATTTGCCACTTTTAGAAAAGTTATACGCTACTGAAAAGTAAAAATGATATAATTTCTATAATTTATATTTTTTTCATGTCCGCCTCTCATGTTACACTGACGAAAAAACAATAAAAACATAAGATAACATTACTCGATTTGAAGAGAATTGTTGTAAAAAATGAAGTAAAAATAAATGTGTGTTTTGGAGCATTTTACTATTGTTTCCCAATGGCAGGAATACATCTCAATATCTCAGAAATATTGTACGGAGACACGTGGTGATTAAAATGATATATAGTGTCCTAAATGCACGTATTCATGGTATTACCAAGTACTGGTATTACCAAATTATATTTGCCTTATTTTTAGAGGTTTTTTTCAATGACGAAATGTGTTTTCATTATGGCCTATGGAAACTGCTGCCAAAGTTCCATTTCACCCATATTATTTGACATTGACAGTAAATTAAAATTCCATATAACGTCATAATAAGAGCATATTTGTTGAATGGTACTATTAACCGAATTTTGTCGAGCTCGGAGTTTTTGCTTAGTCGTGGCAGTTATTGTCAACACGCGTTAAAATAAGGACACAAATACATCTTGGGTTTTTAAGACATTATGTGTATTTGCCTCTCTAGGCAATATTGCGCAACATACTTCTGGTCCTGCAGTAAGTTGAACAATATCGTTACAAGTATAACGACTTCCTGTCTGCCATAGAGGAAAATAAGCAACAAATACATCTACGTCATTACATGCGATTATTCCATGATTCCGTGGAGAGAGGGGTGAACAGACACGAAAATGCGCGAGCCGACAATGATTTCAATGAGGATCTGCAATTTGAAATCAAGATTTATTACCTCTAATGATTGGTTATAATGATTATTCTCTCCAAATTTGCATCGTATGGACACAAATCTAAAAAAACTCGCGGTAAACCGACTTTCGCCATTTATACACTCCCTTATTTTATTTGATTGAAGAAAAAAACAAAAAAACAAGAGATTGTATGCAAATCTATAAACAGTTATATTATTAGTTATGTATGATGTATTTTTGGAGAGTTAGAATTACATTACCAATGTAATATTTTTATTAATTTTGTAATATTATTGGACAAATTAATAGGCACGTTTTTGTTGCATATTAAAATGAAAAGGTCATTTTTTTTTTTTTTGAGTGGCAGAGAACAGTATGCTATAGACGATTCAATGGTGTTTTTCGCCATGCTACGTTCGGGAATAATCGGTTTATACTCGTCGAACCCGAAGTGTGTAATGGCGGGTGACCCCCCGCGAAGTATGAGGACAGTCATGCGATGTGGCTATGCAGGGATCAGCCATTACAAGCGAAAAATACCACGCACTACGCCATCTTGGCTGGCGAACGTGCAACATTTTCCCGTTGGCATTCAGCCCATTTTCTGGAGGAAATTTCCCGGTTGAGGTAAGTTTATCGGCCAACTCGGTTCCCTGCACACCTGGAACGGACATTGTTTTGATCAAACTTCGTAATGTCGGCGAGGGCTCCGTCGCTTGTGTCGATTAGAAGCATGGACTTGGGGTCAGATATTTTTTTTCAAAAGAGTGATGTCGGAAATTAGCATTTGACGATTTCAAACAAATAATGCCAGTGTTCGTTCTGATCTCCTAACACCACCGGCTCATAATTTCGAATGCCCCTAATTTTGTGAGCTCCTCGCGCTAATTACCGTAAACTTTGCTTCTGAAAGTTTGTTGAGCAGCGCGAAAGTTTAAAGTTTCCGTAGTGTGGCTCTTTTGATATGACCGACAAGTTACACCCATAGATTAAAGAAACACAGCTCTGATCGAGCATCGGAGTATGACATTGGTAGCGGAATACCATCATAAGTGAATAGTTAAATATGTACAAGTTGAATATTGATATGTTTTGGTGCATTTTATTCATTATTTGTTTGATATTGAACTCGCGAACCTACATTCATATCATCTTTAGCATTAAGGAGATGACATAACCTAATATTTTTATTGCTTCAAAATAATGATAGCTTCTGTTTTATATTATGACGTACCAGATTATAATTATAATTTCATTTTTTTGTAATTTTTTTCTTTGATGAAATAAGCTATAATCAGCTGATGTTACTGATCGATTAAATATTTCTTGATGTTCGAAATGTACTATTTCTAGCATTCATGCTTATTATTATTTTGTGACACTATATTTATTGACTCGTGTGATTTTGATTTGATTCACAGTAAACCAAACTTCAGCCTTCATGATTTTGTCATTGACACAACATTTAATATTACTGTTAAATGACTGATATTCACTGGGTTTAAATTTCACTGATTTACCATTGCAGGCATATTCAGTGGGTTTTAAATTCACGGTTTCGTCATTTAGATGTGTTCTATGCTAAATTTTACATATTCACTGTGTTTTAATTTAGCACATTTTTCCACTCAGCGAAATAAGCTAAATTCAAACCCAGTGAATAATTACCCCCTTTACAGTATTGGAATATTTTTTTAATATTTACTTAGTTGTTCAATTAACTTCAAGGCACAACCTCCCTGATAAAATTAAAGGCTGCTGGTTGCTATGACCACCGGCATTGTATATGGGTCCCATACTCTACATATACATGTAGCAACCTTTATTTATTTGGGTCAAACATGTTTACACAAAATTTGAAAGCTGTTTGCAACGACCACCATTCAACAACAATGTGCCTTCTTTCTGAATATGTGCTTTTCTTGAAAAAATAGCTTTGAGCATGTATTTTAGAAACTGTAACGACAACCGATGCTCTGACAATACGGCTGACAGTTTAATTTTTTTAATTTAAGTTTAAACTGTTGGTTTACCTTCAATCGCATTTTTTTGCTGCAAACTGTAGTCGTCACACGTTTTGAATATCATGTAGACAAACAATATATTTCACACGTGCTACATGGGTTCTGTATCGTACATAACGTGGCATGACAACTGTATCACTTTAATCACTAGGACTTGCAAAATAAGCTTTATGTTACAGAAAGTTTTGTTGCCAGCCAGATTTTTTTAGAATGCTAAATGTCTAAATAGATTTTAATTAATCACTGTTCACTATAAAAATTATTGCCATGATGATCAAAATGGTTGCAATCTACAGGGCTTCTAGAATGCCAAATTAAAAATTTTACAAGGTAAATTATGATCATCCAGCATATAGCTATGATTTTCGGGTGAGACAGTTGAATCTTGGGAGTTATGAAATAGCCAATTGAGCTAAAAAGTTTTGCTGCAACAATTGACAGAAAAAAAAATATTCCAGTATGAGAGAAGATAAAAAAAAATGCCCCAACCATAGAAAATGCTGCTCTTGCATATGGTGTTGGCTGTTGAGAGTTCAGAAATATACTCTTGCACACAAATGTACATTAGCCCTGGATAAAAAATGATGTCTAGATTATAATTTATTTTCATTATTGTTTATTTTGTTACATACATGCAAGCAGATGTAGGAGAAAAATATACTCTGTGAAATCATCATGGAGACCAACACCATGGCAACTGATATTTCTCCTACTGGGCCATCAAGTGGGGTTCCATTGGCCAAGCCACTGCACCTGCAGGTACTGGAGAAAGCTCTTCAACTGGAAAACTTTGTGGAATATGTTGAACAAGTATTTGAAGAGGAAATCAGGTAAAAATTATATCTGCTCTATTATTAGAAGAATGTCTCTAAAATTATATTCATTGTATTACTGTAATAGTAAATAAAATGGCTTATTTTGACTATATGCACACCCCTTTCATTTACCTAAGGAACTTATTTCCAGATTTCTTTGACTTTTACCATATGGTTTTGTTTTATGCTGTTGCTCACAAAATCCAGAAAAAAAATGAATTATTTCCAAACTACTTTTCACACACCAAAAAATTGTCAACCACCCATGAAAATGGTTGTTTTTGAGTCGTTTGCCATTGGTTCTTATGGCTGGCAAATAGGTTATGGTATATTCCAAAATTTAGCTTGGGAACATGTAGTGAAAAAAATATGTAGTTCTAAGACGGGTCCTTATGTTGTCCCAAATTATTGGGAAATTCTGGCAAATATTATTTACTTTTTATGAAATAATGCTTTAACACAAATTCCTATAGAAATCATTCCAAAACAGCCTTACTTTTTTGCATGTTTTTAGACTGGTTTTCTCCAAAAGAAATACTTGAAGTCAATGGCTGGTTTCTGAATCATTAATTATTTTACAATTTTAAAACAAATAAACATGATAATAAATTTAAGGTGGATGACAATGTTCATTGGTTTATTATGTGAAATCATAGGTTTATTGTCCCATGGCACAATAAAATAGCATTCTTTTGTGTGTTACAGTGGCATATTTTGGTAAACTTGTCCTAATATTTTTAAAAAATAGTTATTTTTAGAACAATTCCATATAGTTATAGAAAAATAAAAATGTTTGACCCTTTTTAAAATCCAAATTTTTCAAATAATTCAGGAAAACAAAGTACTCCATCATTCACAATGTATAATTTTTTCCAGCCTGTGTCACCAGCCTACAATTTGAGATATGGCATAATATCTGTGGTAAAAAGTTTATTTTACTGACGAAATGGCGACTATCCACTAAAATACAAGCATCATTTTCTTGAAAATTAAGCTAGTGACCCCCAACTCTTTTTAAGTCAATATTCTTATATTGCCCAGGATTACAAATTATTGCAAAATGAATGAATTCTGGGGATTTGCATCATGAGTAAGCTTCTACCTTTAAAGTGTAACTGAATTGGGAGAGGGGGCGTGGCCTGATTTTGGAATATCATTGACTGTTAACCCAATTTATATACCCTTTCCACTCGATTTTTTTTCATAATGTTGTTTATAAATAAATTTTGCACACAAAAAAGTCAATTGTCCCAATCCAGTTAAACTTTAACCTTTTCACCACTTACTTGACCAAATTTGTCTGCACTCTTTTTCTTATAAATATTTTTCAATATTTCTGTAAATGAAACCCAATTTTGGAGCCAACAGACAAAATTTGAGTCAAATTTCAGTTTTTACTTTGGATATTTTTGTTTCAATCTTATGAAGGAAAGTGCAGACTGTAAACGAGACCATTTTGTGATAAAAAGAGGGAACTAGTGGTAAAAAGGTTAATGCATATGTTACCAATAGAGAAAATATATCAGTTATGTTATATTTTATTTGGCTACAATTTACATGTCCCAAACTTAGGAGTTACAGGTAGTACTGTTGCCGAAGTATCTAAAAGTAATCGCAAACTGTGTATCTAAAATCAGAATTTTGGTTTTAGTGTATGTTTTCCCAGAACCCATTGTGTGCAATCTAGTCATCTACGTCTTAGCTGTTAGAAATGTCCATTTCATTTGCCAACTTGGTGTAGTAGTTTAACATGTCCATCATTGCCGTCATCGTTAGCACTTTCTTGTCCTTTGTAGTGATAGCGATGAAGATGCAGGAAACACAGATAAACCCAAAATACAAGACTACAAAGATGAGGATGATCAGGAGATTTTAGAAATCAATGGTATTGTAACAACTAAAGCAGGTACAATATTGTTTTCAATTTAATTTCTGTCAACTATTTCCATTGCTATAATTTTATCTATCTGATTATTTGAGGTCATTTGTGGGAGGGATGAAATTTGACTGTGATTTTGAAAGATTCCAAAATGAAATATTGTTTTCTCTATCTCACAAAATTATATACCGTACTTTACCGAGTATAAGCCCCTCCCCAAATATAAGCCCACCCCTCTGTTTTTAGACATTTAACAAGTTGAGGGCATCCCCGAGTATAGGCCCAGGGTGTTTTTACCGGGCGTCGACGACATTTATTAAAATATGCATGTAAAAAGTGTATTTCATTGCATAATAATCGTGATTGGTACGGTAGTTTGGTTCCTGATTTTACGAGAAAACTTGCATTATTTCAGAGTGCATAAACGGCGAACGTACGGAACATGGTTCAGACCTTTTCTATTCTGTTATTTATTCACGATGAATTCCGATGTTGCAATACTGTAATAATCCATATTTCATTTGAGTAGTAGTTTTAGAAACGTAAAAAATGTGATTGTCAAGTCGTGAATAATCGTGTCCATTGAGACCTTCGTGAATGGGATGTGAACTATTCTTTGACATTACTTGTTGGCGGCCGTGAAAAGCTTAAATACTTACTCCACCCTCAGTTTACCTTTCGAAAATTGCAAATCAACTGAACAGCTTTAGGGGAAAAAATCACCGTTTTTTTTTGTCGAAATCAGATCACATTTTAACATCGTGGTAATTCACTTCCACATTGCGTTGCAAAAATAACTTCGTCAATAATCGGAAAACTTCGTCCGTACGACACAGCATTTTGATTGGTTAAAGAAAGACGTGACCTGTTAGGTCAAAGGAAGTTGTTCAGGTCAAATCATGATGAAAAACACCATGGCAAAAATTGCTTTGAAATTGTATCAAGAGTTTGTGTACGCGTGAAAACATTCCACAACGAAGATACTGTTAAAGATCTTACCTTCGACAGTTTTCCCACAGACCCTACCCATTTTTGCACCATAAATTCAGACGGTTTGTATACCGTAATCTAATAAAATGTGTGTATTTTTATGAACATATTTGTTTCTTCATTGTAAAAAGTGTTGTGGAAATCAAAAAGACGTAATATTTCTCTGAGACCGGCGCTGTGAACGAAAAATGTAATTTAGAAAATTTTTCAAGGTTGGGACGATGGTTACAATTTTAAACCTCCCAGAAAATTATCTTTTCTGAGGACGAGGTGGTCCTCGAGTATAAGCCCACCCTCTAATTTTCCCGCTTTTACATGTTCAGGCCCCTGAGCTTATACTCGGGTTATACAATTTGCATAAATAAAATATTTCATCGGGGGGGTTATTGCTATTATATTATACCAGTATATTGACAATTTGATAAAACTATAAAAAAGAGTTTTCTACTATGAGATCATGATTATGGCCCTCGAACATGAATATTTATAAGAATAGTATGTAGTTGTACACTGAATGCATACAAAAAAATCATGCGCAACACAGTTCAAATTGATTTTTAATTTTTATTCCGCATGAAAACGAATCGTATATCCAGTGAATAGAGCAGCGTAAACACAAAAATTAGCATAACAAAAGATGACCTTTCTGACCTTTTACTAACCGCATCATCGCCATTTGAAATACAGGGTCGTGTACAGTTTAAATCATTAACACAACGGATTTTTTTCGTTTTCATTCCGGTTTTTGTACAATTTGGACTGTAATTTGCCCATAGAAAGTATAGATGTGAAATAAACCGATTTTGTGACTCATCATACTACTTGTAACTGTTGACGTTCAGCGGTACTTGGTTCGGCCGAAGTTTGAGACATAGCGGGACGCAGTAATGTAACATGTTTGGTGACGGGCATGACGATCTCAGTCCCAACATCTGACCTGGATATATCTTTGGTATAATAACCAAATTTTGTGACAGTGTGCCTGACAGGTTTTGTCGTTGTTCTGAGACTTAGGTAAGTTTGTTGGGGTAAAATCGGATTCTCGCATCGTTTTTGTGACACGTACATGGTATGTCTTGCCTCAACTTCGGCCGAATGAAGGACTTTGCACGCCGGCGCTCTGTACTGTGGTTGGTGTACACTCGGCACAAATCTGCAGATTTCGAAATTACCTTCGTCATCTCCTATAGTTTATTTACTCATAGTGAAGACATACAATACCATATATCTTTGTCGAATTCTGAGTTGTCCCGTGTTCTTTGGATGGCAATTACCCGGGTGCAATTTCACTGCAATTTTGTCAGCGAATGCCGCTACAGGACACTGGGGTTGTTATAGGTGGCAAACATTTTTACCTGTGACTCGTAGTTTTTTGCATTTTTTTTGTCCTTCAATCCCCCAATCTCATCTAGTTGGTCACCAGTTAAACTTAAAGATCGAGGTTCGCAATCCATTTCAAAGTCACAACACGGAAAACACAGCAATCTGGCGTTCGTTTAGGCACCGTCTCTCACGGTGTTGAGAGACGATGGTTTAGGTTTGCGTCTCGAACGACGATCACCCAACGACTGACGCTCATGTTTCAGATGTTCTTAATTCGGTATTTTTTCCAATATTTTTCCAAAATTCAGCCACTGTATTTCCCTAAAAAACAAATACTACTGGTTTTATGTATTTCCGCATTAAACATGTAGTCAATTCATGTTCCAGGGCCACTTGGTTTAGCCGTGCATTATCAGCCAATATACCATTAATTGCATATGCATGTTTTGACCAATCAAATCGATGGATTACCACCATCAATATACTGGTATAATATACAGACCCGCCAGAAAGTATTTACGCACCACACTACAGGCAGCTACTACCTACGATATCATACAATAAAATAAACTCAATAACAGTTTGAATAAATATATTTATATATCTAATAAAATATGCGTTTTTACACACAATAAAAACAACAAAATTGTCATTGTCATGCAGGATTGAATAAAAACGGCAGTCTGAACGAAACAGTGAAAAAACGTTCGAATTCTCTATGAAGAATACCGTGTAAACGCAAGCTCATGAATATTCATGAAGACATAGAACGCGGCGATTGTCAATAATGCGTGTGTCCACCTCTTCGCTGGATGACTTCTCTGAGCCGTTTTGGCATGGTATCGACGAGTTTCCGACACATGTTCACTTGGAACTGTCCCCAAGCTTCCATTATACTCGCGTATAAATCCTCGATGTTAGCAACTGGTCGGAAATGCACCTCTAAAT